TATATATATATTCGAGTTCGTCACTAAATTCCCATGTTTTTTGGGACACCCTGTATTTCATTTATATTATTAACTTTTTGTATACAGTATACACTGTAAACAATATCAGGTTGCAAAGATAATAGGATTAGATAATTATTATAGTTTACAATTGTGACTTGGAAATTCAACTGTTTTAATGAAGGGTTATTTATAATTACGTCTACGACACTTTTAGAAATAGACATTTTAGATATTTTGATGAATTCAGATTGGAGAAGTTGATTGGAAAATATGAAAGTTCAGAAAAAAGGTAAAAAAAAACGAAAATACTTAAAAGATTTTGTTTTGTTTTGTGTTGTGTTGGGATTTAATAATGATTTCCATCTTGTGCAGACCTAAGGATTAAATTCATTCCATTTGGATATCCTGCGGTTATCGTAACCTCCATTTGGATATCCTGCGGTTATCGTAACCTCCATTTGGATATCCTGCGGTTATCGTAACCTCCATTTGGATATCCTGCGGTTATCGTAACCTCCATTTGGATAACAAATATCAAGTACTTATCTTTCAAATTTAATTTTTCCCACAGCGGAAATCGAAATCCTGCGAGTAAAGTTTAGCGCCGATTTAAACAAAAAATTTTTTTAATTCTGCTTATGTAAAGCTAAAAATATCATTCCTAATCCTACCACAAAATTCATTTTTTGATAAAAGTTTTTTTCAGCCTTGAACAACGAATAAAGTTCATGTAAATAATTTCAGAAAACATTAAACAAAAGTTTTTGGTTTCTTTTTGTTTTTTTTTATGGAAAGAAAAAATATTACTAAAAAAGAAATGAATTGGTTTAGAAAATATTAAGTTTTACTTTTCAATTCAAAATATGAACTAATTACTTTCTTTAAAATAATTTTCTAATTCTTTTGTCTTTACGAAGTTTGAAAAACCCAAGATAAACCCGGTTGCAAAGATATGGATTATAAAATTATAATTTGAGGCAAGTGTTCATTTTCTTTGTTGTTATTTTGGTTTATGTAATTTGAACAGGTCGAGTTGTTCACACAAGTATCAAATGTTTAGGATCAGACAAAGATCAAGTTCAACTTTAATATTGGAGAAATGTTTAGGATCAGACAAAGATCAAGTTAAATTTTAATGTCGGAGAAATTTTTAGGATCAAGCAAAGATCAAATTCAAGTTAAATGTCGGAGAAATTTTATAGGATCAAGCAAAGATCAAATTCAAGTTAAATGTCGGAGAAATGTTTAGGATCATACAAAGATCAAGTTAAATTTTAATGTCGGAGAAATTTTTAGGATCAAGCAAAGATCAAATTCAAGTTAAATGTCGGAGAAATTTTTAGGATCAAGCAAAGATCAAATTCAAGTTAAATGTCGGAGAAATGTTTAGGATCAGACAAAGATCAAGTTCAACATTAATGTCTGAGAAAGAACGGAGAAAAGTTCGAACACTCATCCAATCCACAAAACCATGGCTCAATCCTAATCAAATCTAATCATACTAATTTTTAATCTTCATATTTATTATGGATTAAACCTTTTATGTAGTTTCCATATTTTTCTGGAAATTAAACCTTTTTTTGTAATTTCCAAATTTTTGAGGATTAAACCTTTTAATATTTTAAGCAGGTCTACAAGATCCAAGGTCTACAACATCAGATTGTAAAGATTTACGGATTCAAATAATGACATGGTCAGGGACAATCAGTTCTGGACTGAAACTCGAAACTTGGTTTAAGTCTGATCTGATATGTTTCTATCTCTACTCAATTCGAAGTTCCGATTCCGAACCTGACGTATTTCAATGATTTAGTCCTAAATGCAAAATTAATAAATATCAATACATCTGCAGATTAAACAATTTCATTTAATCCTATTTTTTAAAATCTATGTTGAATAATGGGACTCATAAAACTATGGAAAAGGAAGACGACTTTTAGACTTAAGTTATGATTGTAAAAATTCCAGTAAGCATCAAACACAGTAATTGTGAATTGTTCACAGACCGATTTACCTTACATAAGCTACATTTTAGGCCTTTGAGATTTCTTGCATGTCGTCTTCATATTTCACTGTTTTATGGGTGTCACTGTAGTACTACAAAACCGACCTAATTAGATATAAAATATTTAGTAAATGTGTATAATTTATAGTTAAGTTTATGGTAAAAATAGAAATAAAGAAATAAACATTATATCAAGTCTAAAGTTAATTGTTATTATTAATCATATTTTTTATACATTGTCATTTTCAATTAATCATTTGACAAGCACAATTTTGGCAATATGATGAAATAGGAGAATTGTAATGAGCTTGAATACAATTATAGAATAATTAGAATAATTAGGAGGCAAGGAGGACTAGGAGAACTAGGAGAACTAGAAGAACTAGGAGAACTAGTAGAACTAGTAGAACTAGTAGAACTAGTAGAACTAGTAGAACTAAGAGAACTAGGAGAACTAGGAGAACTAGGAGAACTAGGAGAAATAGTAGAACAAGTAGAACTAGTAGAACCACGAGAACTACGAGAACTAGGAGAACTAGGAGAACTAGGAGAACTAGGAGAACTAGGAGAACTAGGAGAACTAGTAGAACTAGGAGAACTAGGAGAACTAGGAGAACTAGTAGAACTAGTAGAACTAAGAGAACTAGGAGAACTAAGAGAACTAGGAGAACTAGGAGAACTAGGAGAACTAGGAGAACTAGGAGAACTAGGAGAACTAGGAGAACAGGGAGAATGAAGACGACGAATTATGAATTATTGATTCAAAGAACTGTAATTCAAATACATGAACTATGTAAATATATATATACAGATATACATACATGGCATTTTGGCTTTGAAGCCGTATTACTGGACTCTGATTGAAGGGGGTTAAATATGTTTCTGAACCCTGCTCCGGGTCGGGAATTAGCGTGAGTTGAGTGAGTGCGTCCAGCGCACGGTTCAGTACATATTCAACCCTGGAGCTAAACCGAGCTATAGTGTTAGAGTGAAAATAGTTTGTACTTCTATATTTCCGTCCTGTACTTGCCGGGGTACAATAAAGTACAAAACAAGAAGTACATTTTTTCATAAAAAAAGTCAATTTTACCATTACCCCCTATGTATGAGTATTAAGATAATATCTCTTATACCATCCAAAGGAACTGAGTTATTACCACAAACTCTAATTTTCTAATCCCTATATCTTTGCATTTTAATGTCGTAGACCTTAGACATTTCAAAATGAGATTTCAGTTTTTAACTAATAATCTAAGTTTACGCCATCACATTGCAAAGATATAGAAATTAGAAAATTTGAGTATGTGGCAAAGACTCATTCCTTTGACAAGGGTATAGAGTTTTAAATAAATTAATGATTATTATTAAAAATATGAATTTGTTTAAGTAAATTAATATCAGTTTGATAATAGTTTTTATTTCTTTTAGCACTAAAAGTCTTAAATAACGTGAATATCCATTGTTTACTATATGTACAATAAAAATTGCACATTATAATGATCCCTCCCCCCTCCCTCCCCAGAAAAACCCAGAATTAATTTAAAATTAATCAGACGACTTTACAATCTAATTGAACAAGTATGATTAATGAAAGTCCTGACAATTCCAAAATGTGGTCTGCCTTCATTGTGCATATAATAATATTACCAGAGATATATATTTGTAAATTCGTCTTATTAACTGTCAATAAATTCCAGGTCTTTCTGTTTCTATAGATAATAAATTCAAAAAAACAAATGTTCGTATGATAAGCTATTATTTATTTGTGTAATTACTAAGCAAATAAAATTTCATATGAGTATTTTGAAGAGTTACTAAATTATTAAGCTTAGGCAAAAGCAAGTTTTGTCCTACAAGGAACCCTGAATGCAAAAAAAACGGAATAAACAAATTCCATACTGTCCTCTCTGAAGTCTCATCCTTTGTGGATAACCCTGTGTATACTATACAGATTGTACATTTTAGTTACTTGATAATAACTTCAAATGAAAGAAGATAACACTTGCGTAATTTTTCCTATGCAGTCTGTATCAGCTGTTATATATTTGCGTAATTTTTCCTACGCAGTCTGTATCAGCTGTTATATATTTGCGTAATTTTTTTTCCTTCTCTTGAGCATAGGTCACAACACAACGCATGGTAAACCTGTAGGCTGGTGCAGTATTTGGTGTGGATAGGAGTTTACTTGGTTTTACGGGTTGTACAAATGATTGAAGAACTGATTCCTTTCCTCAAACTCTAGTTTTTATATAAAATACAAGCTGAAGTGCCGGGCGTTGCCCATGGAATTTTGAACAAAAAATCGAATTTTGAGAAGAAAAATGTAGAATTGTTTAGCCTATGTTACCCCCAGAGTACTCAAAGGTTTCCTAAAAAAAATACTGCCAATTTTGTCCAGCCAGCATACACATATTATAGCTAACCACAGACTACACAGACTGCTCATACACTCTACCTAGATAGGCTGAGCAGGCCTATAGTGTCCCAGCACGCCATGCTACTGTTCCATGTAATGTTTTTTGACTGACATCTTACGGCCACTTGTTGCATTCAGGGTTTAAAATTTACAACTTTTAAAGAAATANTCAATAATTGTCATGGAGGAACCTTGCTGTTTTGTTTTTGGGAAACGCGGAAAAAATATTCTCCAGGATGGAGACTTTTTCCAGTATTCCAAGAATTATACCAAAAAAGAAAAGTATTCTTATGAAATAAACGATTTAAACAAATTGTAAATTCTTTTGATGTATCCAATACAAATTATCTTATGGAAATAATAAATAATTATTTTTTTTGTCAAATTATTAGTGTTATTCATTACTGTAATTTTAAGTTCATTTCGTATCAACACTAATATTGAAGAAATTATGTTGTATTAAAAAAGCAGCCCTGACTGCAGTTTCAGTAATTTACACACTATGAGGTTGCAAAGATATAGGGATTAGTAAATTAAAGTTTGTAGATCGAAGTAATCAGTTCTGTTTTTAAATCGATTTATTCATGGAGAAAGGATTAATTATATAGGTGTTCGACATTAATACTCAATTATTCTTTAAATATTCTTACTTGAGCTAAAAAAAAAACTAGTTATTAACCAAACTTTGCTATCAGTTAAGGGTAACCATACAAATTATTGAGTCAAGTTTACAGAACTTTTTATTCAGGGTTTCCTAAACCTGTAAACTACTTTTTTTCTTTGCCCAATCCATTGCAAACCATTGAAACACTATGTTTTAGGGAAAAACCAAGATTCTGAAGTCTTATTATTGTGGGCTACCCTGGGTAACCGGGGTTTGTTTTTTTCTTAAATAAATATCATATCTTGAAGAAAGTCTAAAACCTGATTTGAACTCAACATATATCATTGACACGCCTCACATCCCGTTTTGCTGTCTTTAATTCTGTATACGTATACAGATCAGACCCCAAAACTTAAGACAGGGCATCGTTATGAAATCCAGTTTTAAAGCCCGGGTTTTACGAATGGGGTTAGGCAGTTTTGTGGATATCAATATTTTTGTTATGAAATATTTTTTATTTAGTTTCTTCAAATTCTCCGTTTTTTGTCGAATCTCTTTAATCAAAATCTACAGGGCATTCCAATAAACATGGGAATTCAGTGACAAATTCGATATCGTCTTTTTAAACAATTCTTTGATTTAGTATAGTGATACCTACTGAGAAAGCTGTAATCTGTAAGAGTTTCGTCTGCTATGTTAACATTTTGTTTGTTTATGTTTTGGCTGCATACGGTTGTACTTAGCATAAATTCATAAATTAAATTAAAACTCTAGCAGACATAATTATATTATGGCTTTTGAAATTAGGTATTACAATGCTAATTCATAACAAAGACGATATCCAATTCGTCACTGAGTTCCCATGTTTTTTGCGACACCCTGTACAATTGTTTACTAATATTGCTGTGCAGTACGCTCTAGGTATAGTTCATGGCCTATACAATTAGTAAAGGATTAGCGTACATAATCACTCTATACATTATAAACTCGATGGTACAGACATACTGAATATCAAAGTTATATTTCACTAAAGATACAAATAAATATTGGCATGAGCCATGACATGAAGTTATTGATCAATATTTCAAAATATAATAATCTTCTAAAATTTAGTTTTAAAAATTCAAGAAACAACTTTTATAAAGAAACTTAACTAAATGTTTCATTGATGGTAACATTTTGCAGCCTTTTTGGTTTTACTAGTGGATTTCCAAAAAATCTTAAATAAAAAAGTGTTTTTTTAGACAAGCCAAATATTTATATACACAAAACACATAAATCATAATATATTGACATAAGATTAGGTAAGAACTCTTTTCGAAAATACATAAATCTTCCTAAATTTAGCAGTAAAAATCCACGAAACAACTGTTATCAAATAATCTGCAGTTCTGAAAGATAATACAATGATGGTTTACAAGCAGACAACATGAATATTTTCTCTGTGAAGTGGTATTCAAAGGTTTAACAATATTAATAATTTTTTTTATTGAAATACTGGCTTGGGAACCCAGCGGTGCCCATGTTTTAAAAGTTACTCCGCCGTTTACCCGAACTTGAACGATTTTACCGGGAAACTTAATTTTCCCGTTAAAAGTCGATTCACTCAACTTAGAATCTCAAAACCAAGCTTAGAACATTCCTGTGGGTCTCCCGAGTTCCCACTCAAAAATTGAGGCGAATCGGTCCGGGGGTTCCTTAGTTATGATCGGACATACAAACAGACAAACAGAGATTACAACGTTATATATATATAGATTACAACTAATGTATATAGATTACAACTAATTTATATAGATTACAACTAATGTATATAAATTACAACTAATGTATATAGATTACAACTAATGTATATAGACTACAACTAATGTATATAGATTACAACTAATGTATATAGATTACAACTAATTAAATAGCCTTTAGCTAGTATAGCTAGGAATTAAATATGAACCAGATTTAAAATAGCCTTTAGCTAGTATAGCTAGGAATTAAATATGAACCAGATTAAAAATAGCCTTTGGCTAGTATAGCTAGGAATTAAATATGAACCAAATTTAAAATAGCCTTTAGCTAGTAAAGCTAAGAATTAAATATGAACCAGATTAAAAATAGCCTTTAGCTAGTATAGCTAGGAATTAAAAATTTACGTATTAGAATAGAATTAAAAGGTACAAGAAATCAGAATATATATAATACTAAATACAGGATACATTATATGATACTAAATACAGGATACATTTTATGATACTGAATACAGGATACATTATATGATACTAAATACAGGATACATTATATGATACTGATTACATATATATACTGATTCCAGGATATTATTATATACTTCATAAAGGATACAGGATATATTATACTGTATAAAGGGTTTAGGATAAAGGATTCAGGATACAATATCATATATCCTGTATCCTGTTTCCTGTATCCTAAACCCTTTTTTACAGTATCATGTGTAACCTGTATCCTGTTTATACTTTTTCCTAAACCCGTTATACAGTATCATGTATCCTGTATCCTGTGTATCCTGTATCCTAAACCCTTTATGCAATAGCCTGTATGGAGGCTTTAGGATGCAGGATACAGGATACGAGCATTAAATTCTGTTTATAAAAAAATTCTATTCCTGTTCCGTCTGAATTGAGCGGACTCTAATTGGTTTTTTTTCATTCCTTAGTTAAATAGTGAACCCGGAGCACAGTTAAACAGTGAACCCGGAGCTCAGTTAAACAGTGTAACCGGAGCTCAGTTAAACAGTATACCCGGAGCACAGTTAAACAGTGTACCCGGAGCTCAGTTAAACAGTGTACCCGGAGCACAGTTAAACAGTTACCCGGAGCACAGTTAAACAGTGAACCCGGAGCACAGTTAAACAGTTACCCGGAGAACAGTTAAACAGTGAACCCGAAGCTCAGTTAAACAGTGAACACGGAGCACAGTTAAACAGTGTACCCGGAGCACAGTTAAACAGTGAACCCTGAGCTCAGTTAAACAGTGTACCCGGAGAACAGTTAAACAATGACCCCGGAGCACGGTTAAACATTGAACCCGGAGCTCAGTTAAACAGTGTACCCGGAGCACAGCTAAACAGTGAACCCAGAGCTCAGTTAAACAGTGTACCCAGAGCACAGTTAAACAGTGTACCCAAAGCACAGTTAAACAATGAGCCCGGAGCTCAGTTAAGCAGTGTTCCCGGAGCACAGTTAAACAGTGAGCCCGGAGCACGGTTAAACAGTGTACCCGGAGCACAGTTAAACAGTGAACCTGGAGCTCAGTTACACAGTGTACCCAGAGCACAGTTAAACAGTGTACCCAAAGCACAGTTAAACAATGAGCCCGGAGCTCAGTTAAACAGTGTACCCGGAGCACAGTTAAACAATGACCCCGGAGCACGGTTAAACAGTGAACCCGGAGCTCAGTTAAACAGTGTACCCGGAGCACAGTTAAACAGTGAACCCGCAGCACAGTTAAACAATGAGCCTGGCGCACGGTTAAACAGTGAACCCGGAGCTCAGTTAAACAGTGTACCCGGAGACAAGCTAGCTAGAAATCAAACATGCCATTTCCTCTTCTATTTTTGCTATATTCTGCCCTTCATTAAAGGGTGAAATTGCCGATTCACAGGTGTTGCATTCTGACTTTCTCCTTCATTGTCTATGCACCATCAATCTGCGAGGTAGTTTTGAAGAGATAGCAAGATAGAAATCAATAATAAATTTTTTACCTGAAAAAAAACTATATCTCTTTATCTCTATCTCTCTAAACAACTATATCTCTCTAAAAAACTATATCTCTTTATCTCTATCTCTGTTTGTAACTTTTTTCTTTTTCCATTTCAGACAGTTTTATCAAAACAAAAATATTCTTTAGAAATTTTGTCGTTTTTGAGATATTGAGATTATTAACGTAAAAATGTTGTACGCTTATCAATACCTAGCCAACCCCCAACCCCCCGTCCCTCTCTCTCTCTCTCTCTTTCTCTCTCTCTCTCTCTTGAGTTGAAGATACCCCGGAAGTAAAAGTGTCTTAACTCCAAACCTAGACTGGAGCACACTATAGTGTTTAAACCAAACCTAGAGCAGGAAACATGAACCCTGATCCTGGATCAAATCTAGGCTTCGCAATTATCTAAACTTATGGAAATATGGAAATAATATTTCTTTGTGCTATGTTACTGATAAGCCTTCATATTCTAAATTTGTATCATTTAATCGGTACAGGTACAGGTACAGGTACAGGGACAGGTACAGGTACAGGTACAGGTACAGGTACAGGTACAGGTAC